TATATTCTAAAAATTAGATATTTTTTTCTTCTTTCAAGAATTAATATTCATAATTTTTTTTTTTTATTATTTCTCATTTAAAGGTTATTTTTACGTAAAATAAAATTCCATTTTCTTGTTTCAATATCATTTTCCATGAACTATAACACAATATAACAAGAGTACTTTTTCTATGGAAAAAATGAAACATTTTTTTGAAATTAGGATGATATAAAATAAGAATATTTAAAAAGCAATTATATATTTAAACAACAACTCTAATTTTTAAAATAACTAATTGTTCTTTAGAATGTCTAGTTATTGTTTATGCTTGTAGCGGCAATACTACTCCCATGTCCATGAAAAGTGTATTCCAATAAGTCCAATCAGAACGTCAGAAAATGAAAAACTTCATAAAATAATCTTTCCCCACACATAACAATGGCCTTGTCTCCATCTCTGTTACGTAGAAAGAAGGATTTTTTTAATTCGAAAATAAATTTAACATGTGGTATGAGGGTGTGTATGCATATATATTTTTTTCGGTGACATGGAGGAAAGTGAGGGGGGGGGGGGAATTACTAACTTGTGTATTCCATAATGTAAAAGTGTGTCAATATCTTCAGTCAAACTGACTCTTGCGTAATCAACTGTGACAGTCGACTTTAATACACGAGCAATCTGAACTAAATTATAATAAAAAAAAAAAGCATACAATTTTAAAAAGCATAAAAAACTTATAGAATAACCCATTAGAGGACGTGGCAGTTTAAAATGAGAGTATAATATTTCAAAAGTGAGAAATATTCTCACTTTTGAGCTATTATACTCTCACTTTAAAAAGAAATTGTGATTTTGAAACACTATTACTTTTTTTCCAATAAAAATATGAAATCACAAATGAAAAATGAAAAAATCTTACCACTGTCACATTAGAGAAACATGGATATTTCTCTAAAACTGTTGCAATTCTATCAACTCTCTCTTATAAAAAAATTTATTTACCCAAGTTCAATAAGAACTTCCTTTTTACAAAATTATAATCACAATTTATACAAAAACATATACCTCAAATATTACACTTACAACCCACATAAACATATTTACAATTTTTACAATCATAAACAATATTTACAATCCTAACCATATAAACACATTAGCAATTACATACGAAACCGTACAAACATATTAACAACCATTATCAAACATAAACGCAATTAAATTACAAACCATTTGACGTCACGGAAGACTGTAACATTCAACTCAATAAGATTACAGAATGCAAAATACACATGCGTTTAATGGATATTTAGAAATAGTACTAGTTCCAATCTAAAGTAAAAACCAATTGTATAATAATAGCAATAATATTAAAACAATTATAACGTGGAAAATAACAGTAATAGCAATGTTAACAATAATATTCCCAATAAGAAAAATGAAGTTGGGACAACGTTATTTCCACGTCTTCCGTATCGTTAGAAAGACGTTGGCAATGAAACAGCGGAAAAACGTCATTTTACTAACGTTATTACAACGATGTAAAATAGACTTAACCCAGCAAGCACAATTAACGTTGAAACAACGTTGAAAAATCGTTAAAATTTATGGTTAAAAAATGGTTGTTTTTTGGTTGAAATGGAAACACAAATCAACGTTAAAAAATAAACGTTAGATTAACGTTGAAAACAAACCAAAAATCAACGTTTGGTTAACGTTAATCTAACATTGATTTAACTAACTTATATACGAGTTTATAAATCTCAAAAATACAGCCTTTTGCGCCGTGACTCTTTTAATCCAAAAAAATATTTATTTTTTGTACAATATTGTGTTGTTACGAGTAGGAAAGAAACTGTATTCTTCATAAACTTATAATAGCTGATATAGTACAATATCTTATGCTATTGTACTGCACATCTTGTTCTCAATTTTTACAGCTTTTACTTATTATTATTATTAGTATTATTAGTTTATTTTATATTATAATACTAACTGTTGCTTTAGTATTACAAATAATCTGCCCTGTACCATTGTTTTAACGCAGGTAACTAAATTATAGAAATTGAAAAGCAATTATTGAAAGCAAATAAAACCAAAAAAAAAAATTAAACATTTTTAGAACAAAAAGTTATACAAAATGAAAACTATTTTCAAAACGATTTTGATAAAATCATGATATTGTTATCTTCATCACCAATATCAAATTCATATGTATTTTTATCGCCTTCTGTTATTAGACTCATTTTGATTTGGTGCACATTTTCCACATCCCAACCAATAAAGTGCAACCTTCAAACAATCTAAATTATATCTATGTGCATTGTGTTTTTTTATTTAAGAACATCAAATAACTGCATCTAAATAAATATATCTTTAAAGTAAGGTACATTTGTACATTTTACAAACCAAAACAAACATCATCATGAACATTTCCCCCTAAAGCTTTAATAACAGCTCCAAGAATTAATCGTTTGCATGTGAACGATATTCGCATCCAACACTTACAGGTGTTGTAGCTAATAAAAGCTTGTCTCTGTCATACTTTCTTGCTATTGGCTTTCAAACCTTGATCAATCTCAATATCAATGTCATACTTTTCAATCATCACACCTCTCCTCAATGTTTATAGATCTTGAAGAAATGCAAAATCTTCTATCACATTCTATGCAGCATTTGAGAATGACATATTTTATCTGATTTTTTTGCTTTTATGTTGTTTTGAGAAACATCAAATAAATTTTTAAAAAATTTGGGATTCGTACAACAAAGCTTGACATCAGCCTTGAGCCAATCTAGTTTAGCTTTTTAAGACAATGTGTCTTCTATTGTTTTGCTCCAAATAACAATTTTGCTTCACATGTAACAACCCTGAGTAAATCTGTTAACAAATCATTAGCAAATCAGCTAAGTAAGAACTTTTTTTAAATTTGTCTAATTTAAAAAAAATTTAAAAAAGTGTTGTTTGGCTATTGATATTAGTTAAGTTTTAGTTCTGCCAAATCAGTTTGGACATAAAAACCCTTACTATGAATCAAATCTTTGTTGATGATTTTCAATTAGAAAATAAAAGTGTTTTTCTTTGCTTTTCCTAAATTTATATTATTGTAAGGGTTATTTTTGTTAATTTGTTTTCATGTATTTTTTTAAAAAAATTATAAACCTATAAATGCCTTCTTAAAGAATCAAAAACTTATTGCAAACTCACTATCTCCATTAAGTATTGCGCGGAATGCCAATAGGGTTCAACAAATTGATGAGGCATAAATATAAGTTGCAGTACTGGAACAGTTTGAATTATCTAAATGATATTTACAGTAATTATCATTAACTTATATATAATATCTAGTAAATATTTTTCAACTTCACTTTTTTTATCAATAAGACCATCAATATTTAACAACACAAATTTAAATTCAGCATTTCTGTGTCCAATAATTTTTTTCTAAATTTTATGAAGACCACTTTTTAACTGTTTATTTTTTATATTATTTGTTTCAAGTTAGATTGTATCACATTTCTTGCTTGGAGAAACTTACCTTAAAACCATTTCACTTAAATATTTATTATTTTTTGCTTTATTCCATAGTATTCCTTCATCATCATCTAAGGTAGTATGTAAACTTTTTGTACTTTTTTATTGACACAAAGACATAAAGGTATGTTATCTGATGTTAAAATGATGTTATCTGACTCTACAGAAACTTCACTTCAACTTGTTTATTTACTTGGCACTGTAATTTAGTAATAATTACTAACATAGATTTTGTTTCATCATTTAGTTTCATATTTTCGTTTAGTAAATACATTAATAATTTGTTGCTGTTGTCATTCATTTTGATTTTGAATAGATTTTTTGGGATTTGATTTATTATTATTATTTTCAGTATTTTTACATTCGTTACAAAACCATTTTAACTTAACAGAACAATCTGGTGCACAAATAAATATAAATTTCTTTTCTAATAGATGATAACATTTTTTGTGACACCAAGTAGCACATACTCCTTCGCATTTGACGGACTAAAGATTTTCTTCAACTATATTGCCACACTGGTTACATTTGTGTATGATGCTTTGGTTACTATCATTATTCTGTCTATCGATCGGTATGGTTGCGAATTTGTTCTAATTCTTTGTCTTTCTCGTGTTTTTATTACTCATTAATTTTTTTCATTTTAAGATTATTATTTTTAAAGATCTCTCTTAATAATTAACTAATAGTTATAGTTTAACTTTGTATTTCATTCTTTTTTAATATTCACTTTCTTTATATTTTGATATAACAAAAACACGTCTGCCATCTTTGTTATTGACGATTGCTATATTACAGTTATATTTCAACATGTGGTATAAATAATAGCACTAGTAAATTTGATATATACCTTTCCCTAATATAATGCTACTGTAAAAACTATTTAATAAAGTTTTACATTATAAAATTTTATTCAATTTTAGTGTAAACAACTTTGAATAATTTTAATGTTGTGTTGCTGAGACTTTGTGACGAAAGTGCATTAAAACAAACAATATGCTTACTTACCATTACCGTAGAGTTAACACTGTTGAGATTAAAAGCCATTATTAACCATTATGTAAGACCATACAACTTGAGCCAAGTAACCCTAAGTTTTACGGCTGATTGAAGTAACCCCATTATACAGTATTGTACCTATTATTTTCCTTTAATATTGCTGATTGTTTTTCGGATAATATTTGTGAAATACTTTACGGAACGTTAGTTATTTAATAAGTGGTTGATTTATTTCACGACAAAACAAAATCATTTACGAAAACTGATATCATATTTTTAGTAACAATAATTTTATCGACCTGAAAAATGTCGAGATCGGTTCAACATCAGCTTAACCTTTGAAAATACATATTAGTGTATAGATAAGGATATATTTTATGGTTTGTTAAAATTCATTTAAAAAAAGTTTTAATTATAACAATATAAAATTTTATAATAACATTAAAAAAAAATGGAAAAGTATTATGCGCGTCAAAAAAAAAAAAAATTAAAGTTTAACATTTTGATAATATTACCGGTAATTTTATTACATTATTATTATTATTATATTTTTAATACCGGTCATAACAGTATTATTCTTTATTAGATGAATAAACTATTAAATCATTTATTACATTTATATAGGCTTCACTCTTATCCATAACGGTTCAACGGTTTTATTAGTAATCGAAATCAGCTTCTTATAATTCAAATGCTTAAGGTCTACTGAAAATTCGAATTGCAGCAACGCTTTGACCAAGAATGTTTTGATTTCAAGCAAAGCAAAATTCTTTCCGATACAATTATATATACCTTGCCCAAATGTAAGGAAGGATAATGGTGGTATTTCACCTGCAGTCAAATAAATGTTATTAATAACATATATACAAATATAGTAACATAAAAATATATACATATATACATAAAATAAAGTTGGGAATGCCGGATTAATGAAGACGCTGGAACATAAAAAGACAAAACATTAAAAATAGTTTTTTATAAATCATTAAACTTGATTAAATTTAAATTTATTCATATAAAAAAAAACTCCGGTTGAATTAAACATAATTAATTAGAAGCATATAAACAAATTTTATATCTTTTCTCTTCAATTAGATTCACAAATTCGGTATCGAGAACATATTAAAAGCTACGAATAGATTAGTACAAAAACGAGAACTTTTCTTGAACTTTTTTATCACTTTATTTTAATGTTTCAATGCATATATATACTAATTTTTTATAGAATAGTAGGTAATTACTTACTATTCTATAAAAGTTAATATATAGTTATTTATACAACCAACTTAAATGCTAAATATTTATTTTGATTTCTAAATCTCTGATTCCATAAGTTTGTATAAATTCTATTTTATTTTATAAATTTACATTTTCAATTTACATTTTCAATTTTAACATTAATGTTAAAATTAATGGCGTCCTATGATTCAACCGAATCTCTAATTTCAATTTAGAACCGAATATAAGAAATTTATTACACAACCGAAAATATTTACGAAAAAAATTAGAACCGAAAAAATTTCAATCGAATTTTCGATCGAAAGTCATTAATGATTTTAAAACCGAAAAAATTTCGATCGAATTTTCGATCGAAAGTCATTAATGATTTTAGAACCGAATTTCATTAAAATGGTTTACAACCGAAAGTTACACTGTTATCAAACATTGTATATATATATATATATATATATATATATATATATATATATATATATATATATATATATATATATATATATATATATATATATATATATATATATATATATATATATATATATATATATATATATATATATATATATATATATATATATATATATGTATATATATATATATATATATATATATATATATATATATATATATATATAATATATATATACATATATATATATATATATATATATATATATATATATATATATATATATATATATATATATATACATATATATATATATATATATATATATATATATATATATATATATATATATATACATATATATATATATATATATATATATATATATATATATATATATATATATATAAATTAAGTGAGCGTTTTTAGAAAACGATGAGGGAAAACAAAGAATAATGAATGAAAAGGTTGCTGACCCATACCAAACCCTCAGTCGATGTAGCAGCACTCCACTGCGAGTCAGGCTATTTGTCAGTCGATGTATGTACTGAAGCCCCCAGCAGCAGGCTATTTGACGTTAGGTGAGTATGACATCATCATGCTCACCTAACTCAGCAGTATAAGATATATGTATATATATTTTAGAGAAATTTTAATTGTTTATTTTATTGTAAAATGACTAACTAAAAAAAAAAAAAAATAATAGATTAAAAAAAGAAAGGATTTTGTAATTCGATCCAAATTTTTTCGGTTGTAAAATTCGGTTTAAAAACTTTCGGCGCAAGAAAGGATTTTGTAATTCAATCCTGCAATAAAAGTATACTTTTCGGTTCTAAAATTTTCGGTTGTGAAATATTTCGGTGATATTTTCGAGGATAAATATTTTCGGCTCTATCATGTGACACGTAATTAATATAGTAATATAGTTTGTTATATATTACATAATTTTATGAATTTGCTTTTAGATTTACGTTGTAATATAAAAAAAGACGGTTTTTAAACAGTTCATTTCGAGGTCAGAAAAACATGTTTATTTGAATGTCTTAAAAATGAGAAAAAATTTTAAAATCTAGAGACTTAACCCTTCCAACTATATGATTTGGTCTGTAAGATAGAATATAAAAAAAATTTAACATCAAGTAACTTTATTGGATTTAAAATTAGTAGTAATTAATTTTTTATTAGATCTGGACTAAAACTCCTACCCTCCCTTTTATTCCCACCCCCGCTTGTATTAAGTACTCGAGAGTAATTAGGAGACGCTAGCTCTTTAGAGTAGTGTCCATTATAGTATTTATAGAAAAGAAAAAAAGAAGCAACATTACAACGATGTGATAATGATTGGAGATTGGCTGCAAGAGCAGGTCCGACTATGTTTACAATGCGTTTTGGTACCTTGTCTAAAAAAGAAATCCCTCCAATATCAGAGAGTGTTGGCTTATCAAGACAATAATAAATGGTAGCATCATCAGAGAACAATGCCATCTAAGATATGAGAATTTCTGAGAGATTTTAAATGTAAATTAAAAAAAATATAGGCCCAACAACTTTTATACTAAAATTCGTACTGAAGGATTTAATCCTGTCAAAGTTATGTTACAAAATACACCGTAAGAAGAGAGCTTATAAAGAAGACCAGCATGCCAAGCTTTATTAAAAGCTTTGGAAATGTCAAAAGCAATAGTTTTAGCCTCTCCACATTTATCTAATGCACAATAAAACTTCTCAGTTAATTACAAACATTTATCTAATGCACAATAAAAATTCTCAGTTTGACAAAAAGTAGACTAGTTCACTCCTACTCTACTAGAATTATGTACAATGGAAAACTTTTCAAACTAAGAAGTATGGTGAAAACTCTATCTTAAACAAAATCTAATTAAAAAAATCTGAAAAACAATATATTCTTACAATTGACATTACTGTCTTTACTATTAAAATACTCTTCTAACTTATCTTTTCGTTATTACTACAATTATCGTCAGTATTTATTGTTTGTTTATTTTTCTGATTTTTTTTTAACAATACATTTCAATATACCTTCAAATTATCATTTCAACATGTTTATTTTTAATGTATGTTCAATGTGTTTACGGCCTATGTGTTTTTAACGTATGTCTTTGCCTAATATTACTTATATTATCATTGAGAATTGATGTCAATCCTTTGATCATAGTTCTGTATGAGTGACAACATCTTAAAAAATCATATATTATAAATATTATAAATAATTATTAATATTATAAATAATATTATGCGTATAGCCACTATTTTAATCACTTTAATTTAACGGTACTGTTGCTTTGTAACCCCTTTAGAAACCTGTTTTTGTCTAAAATGACATATTTTTAAGATGTATTAAAGTCAGAAAAAGTTTTATTATGCCTGGCTGTAAAAGACAAACTGTGAATCGGCATACCACTGATACATCAAGGCAATTAAAAACAAATCAGTACTTTATGTACAATGGAAACGATACTATTTTAGTTTGTAAAACGTTTTTCCTAAAAACTTTGGGTATCAACGCAAAAAATGATTTTTTGTTTTCCAAGCTCTAAATTCAATCAATGATGGAAACATAGCACCTAAAAAAGACGGCAGAGAAAAAATGCTCATCCTAAAAAATTCGACAGGGAGATTTTCATGAACCACATCAAGTCCTTTCATGCATGCATTTCTCACTATCGAAGAGAGCACGCACCCAACAAAAGGTATTTACTATCCGATATTACAAGAAAAAACATGCATAAACATTTCATTCGACAAACTTCAAACTTCATTTGTTACTATGACCTGTATCGTAAGGTTTTGAAAGAAACGACAATATCCTTACTTACAATATTAACTTAAAAATAATGAAGTAAATAAGTGTAGAAATGGTCAGTGTGAAATAGAGTTACCAAGATTTGTATTTTACGGGCTCAGACCATTATTACTTAATAATTTATAACCGAATACTGTTTAATTTTATTTAACACTCCATAAAAAAAAATTGTCAATTTACTTGATTTGGAAAAACGTTCCACTGAAAAGCGAGTTTTGTTACTGGAAACCCAGTTGTTTTTGCAAATCTATAACTTTAATTATATGTGAAAATTTATTGACAAAAATCATGTCAAAATCTAATGCTCTCTTGTTTGTGTTATTAGTCATTTCTTTTTTTTATTTTAGGTGCTCCAAAAAGTCCTTATGGTCTTATCACAGAGCACCGCGGATGAGCATTTAATTGGAAGTTCACGCCTCCTTCCTAACCGATGTCGCAAAACTTGCTCATAGGTGGGGTTTGAACCACGGACCATTTGTTTCTGAGGCAAGTGCACAACCACTGCGCCACGGCTGCTCATTTTTGTCGTTATTGGTGTCTCGTTATTATTCGTCATTGGTGTTACTGAAAAGTAGCATATGCTATGTTATTTTTAGTCACACCAAAAACGACTATGCTAGAAATGGTACAGAAACTGTTTTAGCGTAGTGATGTAGGAGTGTGGGTGTAAGAAAACTGGTTTTATCAAAAAAATTATAAACTAGTCTATTAAAACATTTTAAAAACTTTCCAGTTTTTATAAGTGATTTTTTTTTTTTTAATTTAATTTTTTATTTGTTATAACTTAAATTTTTCTTTATATTAACCCAATGATGTATTTATGCGATAAAGGTGAATAAGGTTTACAATATTTATTTACCACCCGCAACCCGTCTTCTTTGTCCTGTTTTGCTTTTTAAATAAATTTTAATGAGAGGGTTAAGAAAAAAAAAAAAAAATTGCGAATAATTTTGTTAAAACCTAAAGTTTCCTAAAACACCGGGAGGCATATTTTGAAACCCTTTACAGGATCAGAATAGGCAGAAATATGAGCAATCTGATTCGCTGATTTTGAAAGAGAGGCAAATGCGCTTTATTTAAAAATAAATTCTAAATCTAAACAGATTTTGAAATAAATTTCATAGTAATGATGAACTAAGTTTATCAATACAAGTCTTGTGTTACTATCAACATCTATTTGTAACAAAATCAATTTGTAACAAAATTTATTTGTAACAGAGAATTTTCACTCGTAAAAATCTCAAAGTTTCAATAAAGTTCATCTTGGTGATGGAGGTTTTATCTGTTGTTAATTTAAAGAAATAGAAAAAAGTGTAATTCGAAAAGATCTTGTTCTGATTCTTATAATTATGTAAAATA